GAGAGAGAGAGAGAGAGAGAGAGAGAGAGAGAGAGAGAGAGAGAGAGAGAGAGAGAGAGAGGATGCTCTGCAATGTACAGAGGAGGAGGGGACGGGGAAAAATGGGTGACAGGAGGGACAGAAAGGACACAGGATAGTCGGAATACTAGTTGTGCATCTTTACTTTCGGTTGCACTGTAAATTTTCTAAATTCACTTGTTGTTTGGATCGTTTTTGCAAATCCTCTTGTTTGCTTGTGAAGCCGTAACAGGTCGTCTGGTTCTTTTGTGTGGTCTTGTCTCTCATCTGGGTGTTTTTTCTATTTGTTGTGTTAAATGTGTTTCTTTTGTGTTGCAGTGTTTCACAGCCATCAACTGACTACAACATACCTGGGATGGACAAATATCAGGTCAGTCATCTCTTGCTGTTCTTCACGTGCTTAACTCTTTCCAGGTTATGTTCATGAGTATTATGTTGAGGACTGGGATAGGTGCGTTGAAGTAATTTGCTTGTCTAATTATGTCACAGGGAATAACAGCATGAGTGGTTGAAGGCCACTGCTGTTTATGAAACAGTGAAATTACAAGAGATGTGAGTTGGAGAAAGGGAGAACAAAATCCGGAACAATGACTTCACTCAGAGGATAGAAATCCAGGGTCAAAGGTCCGGTTCTGATGGCACGGGTGAAGCTGCTGAGTATGTGTTGATTACTCGTTACTCCCGTTTCCATCTTTAGTGGGGGTTTGTGGAAAGATAATTGCGTATTGATGTAAATCTATGCTTTTTCGAGATAGAAATGCTGCTGCTGTGTGGAAGTGTAATAGATATTGGCCACCTGTTGCGTGCCCATATCAGCAATTGGATGTGTGGGGATGTCTGAGAACGATCCTGTGGGAAGGGTGTGAGGAAAACCACAGTTGGAGGGGGAGGGAAGATGCATAGGAACATATGCATGACACACCCAGAAGACCATGTAGGCAAGGAATGATCCTAGGAGGCTGGATCCTGCTCGGTCATGCGCAGACGAATGGAGGCTACAGTAGGGAAGTAGTGAAAATAGAGACGAAGAACTCGAAATGTGGGATTGCTGATAAGTAGTTTCTACTCCTCCTGGTAATTCTCTCTGTGTCTGGGGGAGTAATCATCTCTGGCGAACAAGCACTACATCACAGCCAGATCTGACTGTTGATCTCTCCAGCAGACTAAGATTGAGAGCGTGAGAAGACAAAGAAGAGAAGGAAGGTGGCACCTTGTGCCTGCTTATGTTTTTCAGGTAGCAGACCACAGTCCAGCTGCTGTTGGAGCTCCAACTACGGCACGCAGGCGATCTGCTCCTCTGGTCTCCATACCTCTGCATGTCTACTTCCTACACTCCAGTGCTCTGCAAACCTGTATGTTATGAACTTGGTTGTCTGGCGATTTTCAGCGCTCACTCACACACAGACACTCCTACACACGCCCATGCATGCATAAGACGAAGGGGAGAGGAGACAGAGTCCAGACTGTACACAGATCAGAATAGGCAGCGGAATATAGCTATGCACAGGTGGGGAGAAGACACAGTGTTTCTCACTCTCTGACAGCACTCCCAACAACCAATCACAAGAAGAAACCTGCGAGGATAACCATCGGACTCACACTGATGATGATCCAATTAAAACCAAATAGTTTTACAGAGATTGTTCCAGTATCTCGCCACTGTCAGAACCCCACACTCCACTCTCTACCCTACACCCAGTCAGTAGCGCAACACCGAAATGGCCTCCCAGAGGCCAGCGCCGACCACCCAGATGAAGAACAGATCCTGCGATGGATTCTTCAGTGCCGATGAACAACTCTGACGAAGAAACCGGCAGCTATGGCTGCCGCCACCCACAAATACTCAGTGAGGAGCCTCGATATAGCCCTGCCAGGCGCAGATACCCTCAGGGGTAGATGCGCTGAGGATGCCCCAGCTTTGGCAACTTTCTGAAGGCCGGCTATGGCTGCCGTCCCCTGCGAGGGTCTCAGGATGTCGCCTGTAGACAATCACCACCACCAACTTGCTTGGCTTCTCCAAACGCTGCTTCGCGAGAATGAACAGCCAAAAGTCCTGAATCGATTTCCTAAACTATTAATAGATCTACACTACCCTAACCTATACCTAGACCCGACTGACTGGACCGACTGGTAGCGCTCCAGTTTCGGCCTCTCGGTCTCTCCCTACCCCGCTATAGGCTATAGGACCGTCTATCGGTATAGGCCCTTCGGGCCTGTCCGTCCTAGGGGTAGTCCGGGCCTGCTATACGCAGTGGGGGTAGCTGTAGGAAATTCGAGTTAGTGCTGGGCCTATACTTCCCATATTTGCAGATATGTCCCTCGCTAATTTTCTGTACAGGTAGGTCTCTCGGTTAGCCCTCAGCCAAACAAAATTACAAATCTACCCGACCGCTGGTACTGTACAGCCTCGCAGTCAGACTCGGCAGTCAAAATCAGCAAGTCATTGCATCTATGCGTATTACTTCTCGCATGGTGCTGAACTCCAACAGCATGGTGGAATTCAACTCCAAGCACTAATGATTGATGCCCAATTGTCGTGCCCAGCAGTGCAGATAGATACAGAGACTGGACCCAGTCTCCTGCAGTCCAGCACTCCTGGGACCTGTGGTCTGCCTCTTCATTTATGGTCCAGGGCACTGGACTGGAAATCCATGATGAGCCGAGGACCAGCTGTGTAATTGTTCTGGACCTGGGCGGCTGGTTGGGGCACCTTGTTGCGTCAGTAACTCCCTCTGGACGAGGTCTACACCTTCGAGCTGCATTGAAACTGTCGTGCTTCCAAAACGTCACCTGGCAATGCAAACAGGACAGAAGTTACTCCAGTCTTCATGCTCAGAAAAATAACTGCCTTCAATGGCCACCAGCCGAACAGGCACCCTGGACAGGTACACTAGGACAATATTTTTGCCACATTCTTGATGCAAAACTCAGTTTTGAGACAAAACCATCCATCACCAATCACGAAGAAGAAGAAGACCACAAGATAGATACGATGTCACCTCTGTTCTTCTCTCCACATCCATCATCATCATCATCATCACAAACTCCTCTTTTTTTAATATAAGCTTCGCGGACCCGCTGCTTCTACGCTCGCGGTGCACTGCCAGGGTGATGTGTCCAGGGGCAGTTTGTGTGTTTGTGTGCTTGTTGTCATGTGGACAAGATGCTCATTTTGATCCTCTGCCCCCCCCTTTCCCCTCTCTCTCTCTCGCTTTTTCTTTTTCTTTTTGTGTGTGTGTGAGATGCGCTATTTGTGTAGTCTCTAGTGCTATGAGGGAGTTGCAGGGTACTGTTCCCCATGTCACAATGCCTGTGTAGTGAACACACCGCAGCCGGGCAGTTCTCTTTTTTTCCTTTTCTTTTTTTTTGTGTGTGTAGCCAACAATCATAGTGCTTCCATTGGGAGGAGGGTTGTTTGACTTTTGCATGATTATTTGATCCATGTGATTCACTTAGAGACTATGCATGATTATTTGCATGATTTTCTCTCTCGTCTGGTCGTAGAATCAAGGACTTCTAGAATGGTTCGGACAGCAAAGCCCACTCTTTTTTCAATGAAGGGAGACACACACCCAGCCCCCCACCCCTATGCCTTCTGCCCTTTACCTTTGTTTTTATTGATTGAAAAAAACTATTTATGTTTGTGCAAGTGTGCCGCTTCGGCTGCAGACGGGTGTGTGGGCAGAATTCCTGCTCAATCACACAAACGTGCGGAACCTTGCACCTTCTATTATATTGCTGATCTATACTTTTCCCTTACTTTCTTTAAGTGAATAGCGGGTCTCGCGTCACGCTCCCGCGAGAACCCGCATCCAGTGTTGGGAAACGTCGCGGGACAGTTAGCCGGGGGCCCAACGGGGATCCTCCCAGTCGTTCGGGGCAGGCCAGTCGTCCGGCCTGATAGAACTTTCGGGAATCTGACAGCCGGATTCCCGAGAACTCTATCGGGCCGCTCATTTGCTTCGGCCCTCGGGTTGGCGGGCCGCTCATTCGGTTCGGCCCCCTCGGCGCTTCGCTCGCGAGACACACACACACACACACACACACACACACACACACACACACACACACACACACACACA